CTAAATATGGTAAGAATCCCTCTCAAGTTAGAGCGTGTAGGTTACAAATGCCCAACTTGAATTTTAAAAATTGAAATGAATCATGGCTAAGAGTTTTAGTGAATATATCCGTAATCCGATCGGTAGATGAAATCTTGACTGGTGGGATAAACCCTTTACGGAGTTTCTCACGAACAACATCACAATCAATTTTTATATGTTTAGTGCGCTCATAAAAAAATAGGATTAGCAACAATTTGGAGTGCAGCACTGGTTGTCACAATACAATATTGTAGGAGTTGATAAAGAGAGATGAAGATCTTATAGTAAGGAAGATAACCATGTAAGCTCACATGTGGTGACGGTCATGGCACAATATTCGGATTCAACGAATGAACAAGAAACAATAGATTGCTTTTTTGTTTTCCAAAAGTTAGGGCTAGATCCAAGAAAGATGCAACATCTTGTTGTGGAACGACGAGTCATAGGACAACTTGCCCAATTGGAGTCATAGTAAGCACGGAGACTAAGAGATGTCCGAGAAGAAAACTAAAGACCTTGTCCTGGAGTAGCTTTTAAATAACGTAATAAATGGTAAGTTACATCAAGGTTGTTGTGGTTAATGCATAAATTGATCGAGAATATTGACAATGTGGACAATGTCGAGCCAAGTAATAGTGAGATAGATTAGACGTCCATCCAAACACCGATATAGAGAATAATTAGGAAGAATGTCACCCACGGAATCACAAAGTTTCAAATTTTATTCCATAAAAAGATCCACGAGCTTACAACTAGTCATGCCGAGTCCCGAAGAATGTTAATGGTGTATTTACGCTGATAGAGATAAAGACCTTGTTGTAAACGGGCTACTTCAATACCAAAAAAGTGCTTTAGAGGATCGAGATCTTTGATATGAAACTGTTGATGAAGAAATTGTTGAACATATTGAATTAAAGTGGCATAAGATCCCGTAATGACAATATTGTCGGTATATGCAACAATGAAAACTCAACTTGCTTGTCGATGGAGAAAAAAATAAGAAATGATCGACTTGGGATTGGGAAAAACTAAAGGCGAGTAATGCCGTAGAGAATTTAGAAAACCAATTCGTGAAGATTGTTTGAGACCATATAAAAATTTATGTAGTCAATAAACAAAAGTCTCCCCATTTCAACGATGTCCAAGAGGAGGGGACATATAAACTTCTTCATCGAGGCCATAATGAAGAAAGGCATTATGAGCATCCAATTGATATAAAGGCCAACCATAAGCAATAGCAACAACAAAAAGTACTTGGACCGTAACAAGCATTGCTATGGGAGCAAAAGTATCATGACAATCAATGCCTTCGACTTGAATGTAGCCTTTGGCAACAAGACATGCTTTGTAACGTTCAATTATCCCATTAGAATTTCTTTTGATTTTATAAAGCCACTTGCAACCAATGGGTTTCTTGCCGGGTGGTAATGCAACTAGTGATCAAGTTTTGTTTTTTGAAAGAGCAACAATTTCAACTTGCATCGCATCATGCCATTCTTGAATTTCATGGCTTCAACAAAAGTGGCAAGTTCATTTGTTATAGATAAAGATGTAAGAAAAGATAAGTGAGATGAATTAAAGGAAGTGTAAGTTAAGAATTTTTGGAGAGGATGGTATATACACGAACCAACGGACGAAGAAGGAGATTAAGATCCGGCATTAAAGTAGTAATAGTCTTTAAGATATACTTGGTTGTTCATGTGGTCGAGTGGAGCGACAAATTGAAGGTTTAAGACTAGGAGATAAAGATAAAGGAGGGAGTGGTGAGACATCAAAAGTTTTAGTTTTTCTAGGTTGGTGGGGATGGTGTTGGTTGGGTGAAATGTATTTAAGGCTCCTTTTGCTCAATAGATGGTTATGGTAGAACTGGGGAAATATTGGTGGGAGAGGGAAGAAATGTGTATGGAAAAATTTGTTCATGAAATGTAACATCCTAAGTAACATAGATTTTTTTTATTTGGAATGTCAAAAATTTTAAATCCTTCTTCGCCATATGGGTATCCAATAAATATGCTTTGGGAGAATTACGTTTATCAAATTTGTGTTTAATTGGTATATTACAACCAAAACATAAACATCCTAAAACTTTTAAATGAGATAAAATGGGTGGTTTTTTAAAAGAATTTCATGTGAGGTTTTATCATGAAGCACGGGCATGGTTAAATGATTAATTAAATAGGCGATAGTTCATGCACATCCACCTAAAAAGCTAATGGTGAGTTTTCTTGAAAACGAGTACTCAAGCAATATTAAGAAGGTGTCGGTGTTTATGCTCTACAACGTCATTTTATTGTGGTGTGTCAACACAACTAGATTGTTAAATGACACCTAGTGAACGAAAAAATGAAGGTTTGATTTATTAAAAAATTCAATACTATTATCAGATCGAATTTATCGAATTTGAGCATTAAATTAGATTTTAACCATAGCAAAGAAATTTGAAATGAGGCCATGAACTTCAGATTTATTTTGCATTAAAACAATCCATGTACTACGATATAAATCATCAACCATGGTTAAAAAATAACGAGCATCACATAAAGACAATTTTTAATATGTCCCAAACATCAAAGTGAATTAATTCAAAACAAAATTTGGAGGAAATTATGTTATTAGGAAACAGTAATCGAGAATGCTTTGCTAGAGGACAGGCAGTGCAAGTACATTTATTTGATAGATAAAGACCATCATTAAGTGCTTTCCAGTTTGAAGATAAGGAAAAAGATGGATGGCCTAAACGCCAATGCCAGATCGTCGAAGTGAGATCCATGAGTTGTGGTGAAAGCAAAGGACGAAGGAGGTTGTTCCAAATAATAAAAACCACCATGTCTTTTACTCATCTCAATGGCCGTCTTTGTCCGTTGGTCCTGAAATACACAGGAATTTGAAAAAAAAAATGTACAGACCAATTAGATAGATTTGTGAGTTTACTAATTGAGAGTAAATTGAAATGAAAAGATGGGACATGTAAGACATGAGTGAGTGTAAGTCCAGGAAATAAATTCACAGTTTCAATATGTGCAACTGAAGCATGAAGGTCATAAGGAAGATCAATGGAAGATGGATGAGAAAGTGTGGTGTGTGAAGCGAATAAAGATAAATCAGAAATCATATGATCAGTTGCACCTGAGCCAATAATCCAAATAGTTGAAGTAGAAGATGTGGTTAGACAAATTCTTGTACCTGCCATGTTTGCCAAATGATGAATATTAATGCTAGCAAGTGGTTCCAAGCAATCTTGGAGATCGATCCTAACATCATGAGCACTTTGAACCCAAAGAGCACTATTGGCAATTGAGGGAATGGTTGAATGAACCAACCATGATTGGAACATGCTGTTGCAGCGACTCCAAAGATCAAAGTGAGGATAAGCAGAGTCGGGTTTAGAAATGGAGCCATCTACAAATCCAAGTTTATTCGTGGCCTCAAGTGCCATCATGAGTGCACGACTCCAAGTGGGATAGTTATCTCCATTGAGGGGTTGAAGGACTAGGGGATTACTGGGTTCAGTGGGTTGATCAGAAGGATGCAAAAAATAGGGAGATGAGTGATCTAGAACAAGTTGGTTGGTGTTTGGAGATGTAACTGTGGTGAAAGAAGAATTGTTGTTAGCCCTGGCGGCTGGAAAAAAAAAAAAAAAAAGCCCAGGAAGTATTTTAGGTTGATACCATGTTAACATATACACAAATATGAGAATAAGGTTCTTTCTTTTTATTATGAGAATAGGAAACATATATACAAGAAATATGCTGGAACATCTCGTAAATTTAAGATATTTGACAGCTAAATTTAAGGGTCAAGAATATGCTTAATTACCTTGATTGCAGATTCCTATAATTAAGGACTAAGTATCGTAAGAATCCCAAAAAACAACGGCCACGAATGCACAAACCGCACAACTAATGAGATTAGAAAGCAAATAGATAATTTCATTTGAGGAGTTTGGTTGGATGCTATTGCAACATGTTCACTTTCTTTCAAAGATTGGTTTTGGAACATAGATTAATAAATTTGACGTGAATAAACGTGCAATTTATTTGATGCGAGGATTGAGGAAGTTTTTGCTTTTGATCCACCTTGTGTCATTGGTTGAATGAAATTTGATTTTACTTCAAAAAAAGATTGAAACAAATGAAATGATCAAATAATTATTAGCAACTCACCAATATTAATTATCTCACAATAAAGAAAGAAACATAAATCTAATTATCTTTTAATTAGATTTAAAAAATTATTTCCTTAAATCTCTAATATTTTATTGACTAAATGCAACGTGACATGTACAAATCGTAGTCTACAGAGAAAAAAATTACCTTGATTTGATAAATAAAATTAAAAGTACTCTATTCCAGTACAAAAGTTTTGAAAATGCCTTAATTGACCTTGTAAAATGAAAATGAATTACCACACTGCTTTCTCTCGTTCCTTGTCTTTATGAATTACCCATATTATTTTCTCCATTGATTACGAAAATGAAGAAAGTAAAATTATTGCTTAAATAGAATGCCATTTACACAATTTTCTCATATATTTTAATTGGTTAAAATCAGGGAAATTATGATAATATAGAAACATGATTTCTTATTATTATTTAATAAAAATGCGATTTCCTTTGCTGAATCTTGTTGCTGCAAAGATGCCCCAGTGTCTTCAAACTTTCCTTCTATCTCAATGCCACGTAGACCAACGCCTTCATCCTCTAGCTGTGTGATTGGATGGCATATTCACAGGCTGGCCCATAGTGCATCCATCTCCAATAAAATTATTGGACCGTCCAAACCATATTGTAACAGCCATGTGAGAGTAACAGCCGTGGGAAAACTATTTATTTTAAATCTAACAAATGCTAAAACAATATACTTGTGGACGTGGTGTTTCGGGCAGACAAGTCCCCTTCTTCTGGTTTTCACTCTCTGTTCTGTTTTCTGTAATAATAACAACAACTTAAGCAATTTCTTTCATTATACCTAGTATTGGCCATGTCTGCTGCTGCAACGACTTTAGCACATTTGTCAACCCCAACTTCATTCGGCCACAGCCACTTGTCAACTACTAAAAACAAGAGCGCAGCAATATTATCAAACTCCGTACCCACTTGCAAAATCACATCATCGTCTGTCCGTAAAGTTCAATATGGATATAGATATTCGAAGAGAAGTTCCACTCTTCCTGGGTTCAAGCCCTTTTCTTCTCCAGTCATGGAGTGGCAGGATTGCACGTAAGATACCAATAGTATTTCACTTTGCTTTGCTTTTAACTCATTCTTTCTACTTTGTTGGGCTGTCAAATTGTAGGAATACTAGGGAATTGGAGTTTGTTGTTATTGAATGTGGGTCTTCAATGGTTATTGCTTGTGTGATTGTAACCAAATTATTGTTTTTAAATGCAGGGTTAAGATGGAAATTGATGTGCCTGTTGGGGCGGCTTATAAGCTTTATTCAGATCGTGAATCAATTCCTCGTTGGATGCCCTTCATTTCATCTGTACAGGTGTGCAACAATTTTGATGCCTTTTCCTTTTTATTCCTCTAATGCTTAGGTAGGTTAATTAAGCACTACTGTTTTATTGTTAGTTCTTGAATGATATTCAGTGTGACGTTAGTTTTTCGATTTGAAAGGGGCTATACGATATGGTGCGTTCATTATTTCATTTTAATTGATAATGATCAAGAAAAAATCTCTCAACTTTTTTTAATGTATCATAGCCATAAGCTTGTGCCTTTAGGATAAGTTGATGTTTGATTCTATTTAATAGGTACTCAAAGACAAGCCCGACCTATCACGGTGGTCACTAAAGTATAAAGCACTTGGTCAGGATATTGAATATTCTTGGCTTGCTAGAAATATGCAGGTAATGATCCTTTGTATTGTATGGGAAACATTTTCACTAATTGTTCATGGATGCATAATGCTTTCACTACGTTGTCAGAGATGAAATTGGTACCTCCTTGCTTTGTTCACATTCATTTTTATTCTGTGTTCAACTTGTTGCAGCCTACCCCCAATCAGAAAATTCATTGGAGATCTCTGGAAGGTCTTCCTAACAGGTAACTAATTGTGCACGATAATCTTGAGAATCAAGAATGCACCTTTTAGCCTTCGCATGATCAGTTAATGAGACTATGAGATTTCCTTTGCTAAATTCTTAGTCCAAGATGTCCTAGACTTTATTCTGCAGAAATATACTAACATCACAAGGTTATGGAAAATATCTTGCCTATTGTATTTTGCTGCCTATGGTTAAAGAAATCTTTTTGACACCCTTACATGACTTGAAATTGAATAACTAGCAGTAAATAACTAATTATCATGTGTATGTGTGTAAATTTCATGAAGCAATAGAAATTCATTCTGGACTATATTATTGGATGAAAACAATGGTGCCATTTAATCTTCTTGAGTGCCTAGGAGATGCTTAGTGATGCTGAAGAAACATATTTTTTCAGGCTGGTGCTATTAAGAAATTTTCCACTAAATATACTAAATAGAGGGGATGGTGACCAATTGGACTGGTATTGTCATGATATCAATTTTTGCTTCTCAATTACCTGCTTAAGTCTTTTTTTTTTTTTTTTTTGTTGGGCATGTGCTTGTTTTTGTCTTTCAATTCTCATTGCAGCATGTTGATGAGTTTTAGTGTTGAACCTGGCATTGTTAGCAGATGCCGATTTCAGTGGAGTTTTCATGAATGTATCTGGGAAGCATATTTCATCTGCATTGACTATCAAAGTTTCAAATTGCTTGTAATGAATGTGTATGATTATTGACACTGTTGAACTAATCCATGCCCTAATTTTCATATTGTCTTGCATATGTCTTTGAGTGCCTTGCAAAATGAATGTCGTTTCATTTTTCCTTAGCATGATAGCAGAAAGTTAGTTAACTTTATTCTTACATTGCAGAGGCGCCGTTCGATTTTTTCCTAAAGGTCCTTCATCATGTCTAGTAGAAGTGAGCTCCTATATACAACATTCAGTTCGATCTTCATGGTTACAGCATTCATGGTTCCCAATTAGTCAGATATTATAATCACAGTTCATCACCCTCATTTTAGTGGATATATTAACAGGATTCTTAATTTACTCAAGAGATCAACTAGATAATTCTGATAAGATTGGCATTTCTGCATGCCTTCACCGACTTGCCAAAATAGTCTTTATCTTGTGTAATTTTATTTTTTAAATGGAACCATAGAATCAGAAAGAAAAATAATGCAGGGATTTTCTACTTGTAATCTCTGACACTTTGTGTGTTCTCAGGCTTTTGATTGGAATGTTTGGCACTATGACAAGGAAAAGAAAATGATGTTTCGTTTTTCGTCCCTTATAATTGTGTGTTTCCTTTTCAGCTAACTGTTTCATATGAAGTTCCCCAACTTTTGGTTCCTGTAGCAACAGTAAGCATTCTTACTTCCATTTAGATGCTATTTTATTACTTTGAAAGGAGCACCACATACTTGGCCTGCAAAAGTGTAAAATGAACAGTAATGTGCATTTGAGTGAGCGTGTGTAGTTGCATGCTTATGCGTTCAAGCTGCTTGTTTTCAACAGAGAAGAAGATAGAGATTGTTGTGTAAACGAATGTCCTTACACTTGCAATGCAGTGAATGATTAGATAATTTTACTTTGTCGTCACTTTTTCAGGCACTGCAACCTTTGCTTGAGAGCTTACTCAGAGTTGGTTTGGAAAGATTTGCGACACTTGCAAAAAGCACTTTGGCAGACTGAATTCCATGCTTCCAATGGGGTAACTGGAGCTCATTTTTAATGATCCTCAACAATTTTTTGAGTTGGAACATTTTCAGAATCAATAGGATTCTTTTACACTGGCAGCATTGTTCCCCATGAAGAAGGGAGAAGTTTTCTTATTAATTTACCATTGATTGTATTCAGCACCCTTACTGTGGATAGTTGATCAATTCCAAAAATACTAAAAACTTCATGTTATATGCATGAGTTTTCCTTTGGTTGGCAGCGCTCACTAATTTTAGCAAGAGCGGCATAATTAAACAACACTTTTGCTTCTTGCTCCCTTCTTAGCCATGTTGATGAACTGCTAAATTTACCATTCTTAAGTGTGTCAGGGATAGAAGAGAATAGAACTAGTAGTCCCATTATTTATTCTGCATATTTTCAAAAACAGTGTTAATACACCTGCATTAGGTTTCCATGTATGGGATAATGCAAGATGGCTAAGTTGAGACTAACCCTGCAAGAACTTTTCATCTGATGCTTCTGTTCATTTTGATACTATCAATAAAAAAAACTGATTTGTTAGCAGAGAGCTAGTTCCCAAGCAGCTCTTTGTTCTTATGTAACTGTTTTCTCCATTAGAGCCATTATATTTCTCTAACCAACATTCCCACGCTCTCTGGAGGTTTTGGGTTCAGGTCTTCGTGCTCCCTCGGAACTAGTTGCCTAGCATCTTTATGCCCACTCCTATTTCGATTTAACTGATTGGCTTTAGGAAAAATTTATCGATATGAATATATTAAACAGTGACAATTCTGCCGTAGCTGAAACTTGGAATTCTAGTGTTGATCTTTAGTGTTTCTGGCTCAAATGGATAAAATAAAAGACAGGAATGTAAAGTCATTACGATTGTGTTTGAAGGTTCGAGTCGGGTTATGTTGCGGACGTGTTAAATACCTAAATAGTTTTATCGTTGGAGTGATGCAGTCATTTATGAATTGTTGGAATTGATGCGAATGATAAGTAAGTCAGTTAGCAGAATTGGCAGCTTAGTTGGAAAATGTGTGAGCTGACACTAAGCTGACAGTTGAGCTGGCAATTATGTGAACTGGCACTAATAGTTGTAATTGTTAGGTGTCGGTTGGGCTGTTAAAAGGGAGTGATGAGAGTGCGTTAGTCAGCTATGATGTTAGCAAGAATTCTCTCTTTTTTCTCCTCTTTAGTTCTCTCTAATCTATATGTTCTTTCCTTCTGCATTTCTTCTTCTTCTTACTATTGTCAGTTCATTGTTAAGTGTTCAAGTTATAGTATTTGTTTTCCATTGATTTGCAATTGTAGTTCAAGAACACGACTTCAGTCCTCTTTGAACGAGAATTTTTGTTTTTCTTGTTTTCCTTGCAATTCTCTTGTTTTCAACTAATTAGAAATTGGAGTTGTATCAATTGGTAGTGGACTCGTGACATTTGTGGAAAAGGAAAGAAAGAATTATAATGGTAAAGAGAATGTTGATATGAAGAAAACGAAAAAATCAATTGTTTTTTTGACTAAGGTAATTTCTGACCTAATTGAGAAATATGATACTTTTTATTCATAGCAAACTAAAGTGATCAATGGGTTGAAAAAACTGATTAATGGTCTCAAGAATCTAGTTGATGTAGTTCCTGATCTAATGAATGGTAGTAATGATAGAGAATGGGAAACATGAATGAGGTTAATAATCATGTTCAAGGATATGGGCTTTCTTTTGAAGGTGATTTCAATAGATTTGATATGACAGAAACTATTGGAACTCAGTTTAAAGAATGCTTAAAAACTGAACCTTCTATTGACCATAAATTTGTTGATAGTTTGTTGCTACAAGATTATCAAAGAGTGAAAGATAACGTGGCTAATCAAGATAAGGGTCAATTTGTTTTCGATATAATTGATAATACTAAACAAGAGCATTTGATTGATAATAAGAATCAACAATATTATGATAATTGTGGGTTCAATTTATGGTATTGTGTAGAAAGACAAACCTAGAAAGGAATCGTGCCTTTAATGTTAGTTTTGCTCTTGGAAGTTAGGGTTTAAGAGAAGTATGTACATGCAACTTTATAGCTATGGTAGCATCTGATAAATTTGGTTGTCAAGCTCTTAAATTTGTAAATTTCAAGGTTAAAAATTAGGCTTACGATTTGCTTGAGATACAATAGAATTAGAAGTAGATAAATTATGGTTAGTTGGTGGAGATTTTATACCGAATGTAGACAGTCAATGGTCTGCAGTATGACAATCTATCAACACTATAAAAATAGGTATTTTTATGTAGATAATAGAGTATTTTTGTGTGGTTGTTAATACCTTATACTTGTCGTTAGAGACTAAAGAAAGGACGACCACTTTCTAATAGACAATTCTGATCGTATATGGTCATTACTTAAAAAGGAAGAGCACCCTGATGAATCATGTCTTCGATACCAATTTCAAGATACTGAATGCATACAAAAGAAGAGGTCAAACAACTAAAGGCATTTGGATCGCTAAAAGTAATGATAATAAGCTTTTCACAATTACCATGAATTTTGAGGGATGTGACAACAGTCCAAGAGGGAGGACAACACTCTATTCAAGTGTTACTAGTGTGCCATAACAGCTGCTGAGTATGCAGAAGCTTGAGATGACAAGCAATCTGATTTTTTTGCTGCACGTTGTAAATTACAATAAATTAGGAGTACATGTTAGTTAGTCATAGTAACTTAGGATGATCTGCTGGTTAGTGGCTTAGTGGGTTATAGTTATCTCTCAATTTTTATATTGAAACAGTTGTTTGGTTCAATAAAATTATTAGATTTGTAGCCTATTCAAAGCTTTCTTCAACCTTTGTTTTTTGCACTTTTATTGCTTATGTTGTTGTTTTTGTGAGTAAAGTCCAATGGTTGATATCAGAGCTTTCTTTTTAAGGGATTTGTAAGTGAACTCAAGCAAACCTTTCACTAAAACAACCTGTTTACCTGACTAAAGTCAATCAACAAATGGATTCAGACTCACCATTCATAGCAACAGCTCCACTTGTTTTTCATGGTGAAAATTATCAGGTTTAGGTAGTGAGAATGAAGGCCTACTTGGATGCTAGTGATCTTTGAGAGGCTGTTGAAGAGGATTACGAAGTTCCTCCATTACCAAACAATCCAACACTTGCTCAAATCAAGAATCACAAAGAAAGAAAACAAAGAAAGTCAAAGGCAAAAGCATGTCTTTTTACAGTTGTTTCACCAATAATCTTTACCATAATCATGACCTTAAAATCAGCAAAGGCCATCTGGGAAAATTATGAAGGTGATGAGAAAATTAAAGGGATGCAAGTGCTGAACTTGATAAGGGAGTTTGATATGTAAAGAATGAAGGAGTCGAAGACAATCAAGAAGTATTCTAACTGACTTTTGATCATTGTCAATAGGTAAGATTATTTGGCATTGAATTTTCTAACTCAAGAATTGTACAGAAAGTTCTTGTTACAGTTCCTGAAAAATTTAAGACAATAATTTTCTCATTAAATTCATTACAGACATAAGAGCAAAGAAGGCTAATGAGGCAACAAAGTACAGTATAAGAAGCCTTATAAGCTAAACTCTAAATTAATCAAAGCAACAAAGGAAAGAATTTTTTTTTATAAAAAAAATACTGATGCAAATGAGGCTGATGCTAATAATAGCAGCAGCAGTGACAACAACAAGAAGAATTATCCTTTTTGTCAGGATTGTAACAAGAAAGGGCATCCTCCTTTCAAGTGTTGGAGAAGGCCAGATGTGAAGTGCAACAAATGCAACAAAATAGGACATCATGAGAAGATTTACAGGAGCAATCTTCAGTAGCAAACTAAAGCTCAAGTCCAGTAAGAGGAGAAAGAGCAGCTGTTAGTAGCTTTCTGTCTTATCGATAGTAGTTCAAGTGAGAACTTACTCATAGATAGCGACTGCACCAATCATATGACCTATGATCAAGAAATTTTCAAGGAACTTGATTGGCTAGTGGTTTCAAAAGTCAAAATTGATAATGGTCAACATATTGTAGTCAAGGAAAGAGGAAATAAGCTATTGAAAGCTGTATAGGTACAAAGCTAAGTTTTATGTTTTGCTTGTACCTGAAATTGATCAAAATTTGTTGAGTGTGGGACAGTTTCTTAAAAAAGGCTTCAAGGTGATATTTAAAGATAAGCAATGCCTAATTAAAGATACAAGTGATCAGGAAATATTCAGAATTAAAATAAGAGGTAAGAGTTTCTCTTTGGATCTATTGGAGGAGAAGCAAGAGCTTATCCCATTATTATTACTAATGCTGAGACGTGGCACAAAAAACTAGGTCATTTTCACCTTGCTACAATTCTGAATATGCAAAGAAAGGAGCTGATAAAAGGCTTACCTTCATTAAAAGAGCATTTATCAAGCTGTAGGGCATGTTAGTATGGCAAGAAAATAAGGCTGCCATTTTCACAAATAGTTTAGAGAGCATCACAGAACTTGTAGTTGATTCATACTGATCTGTGTGACCTCTGTCAACACCATCATTAAATGAAAGGAAATATTAAATTACTTTCATTGATGATCTAACAAGAAAATACTGGATTTATTTCCTGAGATTCAATTCAGAGGTCACAAGTGTGTTTTGGAGGTTCAAGGCATGGATTGAGAATCAAAGTGGCTATAAAATCCAAGTCTTAAGATCAGATAATGAGAAGCAGTACACTTCAGAACAGTTTAATCTATTTTGTGAGGAATCTAACATTGAGCATCAGCTTACTACTCCTTACACTCCATAGTAGAATGGAGTGAATGAGAGAAAAAATATAACCATAATGGAGATGATCGGGAGTATGATGCATGAAAAAGGTCTACCAAAGAAGTTTTAGATAGAAACGATAAATACTGCTTTTTTTTTTTTACTAAATAGGCTTCCCACTAAGGCTGTTGAAGGGAATACTCCATTTGAGGCTTGGTATGGATATAAACCATTCTTATTATACCTTAAAAATTTTAATTGCGTTTGTTTCTCATATGTTCCCTAGGTGAAAAAGGATAAACTGGATAGGAGGGCAGAACCAGACATCTTTATTGGTTACAACAATGTCTCTAAGGCTTATAGGATTTTTCAATCTCAAACTGAAAAGATTCTGATAAGCAGAGATGTTCAATTTGTTGAGGATCAAAAATGGAACTGAAAAACCAAAGAGGAAAATCAAAACATTGTTTTTCCACTGAATCATGAAGAGGAGGTTGATGAGTCACCTACCAGAGGTACTAAACTACTTTCTAATATTTATCAGAGATGCAATGTAGCTATTTTTAAGCCTGTAAGATATGAGAAAGCTGAGAAGGATTTAAAATGGATAGCTACAATGAAGGAGAAGCTAAAAATGATTAAGAAAAACCAGACTTTGGAGCTTGTTGAAAGGCTTGGGAAAAGGAAAATCATTGGTGTTAAATGGGTGTTCATAACAAAACTAAATGTTGATAGCTTCATCAACAAGCATAAACCATCAACAAGCACAAAGCTGGACTTGTGGTGAACGGTTTTGCTCAGGTGTTTGGTGTTGATTTCTTAGAGACATTTACTCCTATTGCACGATTGGACACTAACTGAATGTTGCTAGCATCGATTGCTTAGTATGAATGGAAGGTGTTTTAGCTTGATGGCAAATCGGTTTTTTTTTAATGGCTATCCGTAGGAGGAGATTTATATTAAGCAGCCTAAAGGTTTTGTAGTGAAAGGGTAGGAAAAAAAATCTATCTACTCAGGAAGGCTTTATATGGCTTCAAACAGGCACTAAGGGTCTAATATAGTAGAATTGATGAGCACTTATTAGGCTTAGGCTTTGTAAAAAGTCTGAGTGAATCCACTCTCTATGTTAGACATTATAAAACTAGCATAGTAATTGTTTCTTCATATGTGGATGATCTCTTGGTGACAGGAAGTGATGCAATACTTATTGAGCAATTCAAAAAAGAGATGATGAAGATCTTTAAAATGATAGACTTAGGTGAAATGACCTACTTTCTTAGCATGAAGATTAGACAGAATAAACAGGATGTGTTTATCTATCAGAGGAAATGTGCTAAGGAAATTCTAAAGAAATTTCTAATAGAGGATTGCAAGACAATAAACACTCCTATAAACCCAAAAGAGAAGCTCAACTAAGAAGATGGTGCAGAAAAAAGGAGGTTATTTATAGAAGCCTCATTAGATGTCTAATGTACCTTACAACAACTAGGCCTGACATCCTATATGCTATAAGTGTGTTGTCAAGGTTCATGCACTATGCTAGTGAAGTGCATTTCAAAGTAGCCAAACGTGTTCTTAGATATGCCAAAGGGACTATTAATTATGGAGTTTTGTTTTGTTATAGTTAGAATTTTCAGTTTCATGGATATTATGACAGTGATTAGGTAGGGTCCTTAGATGATATAAAGAGTATTTCAGGGTACTGTTTCACTTTTGGGTCAAGTGTGTTCTCATGAAATTCTAAAAAACAGGAGATTATGGCTCAATCAACTGTTCACAGTAGTAGTGAATCAAGCTTTATGGCATAGGAAGGTCTTGAATGATCTACAAGTGAAGCAGAAGGAGAGCACAAAAGTGTTTGTTGACAATTAGGCAGCCATTGCAATCTCCAACAATCCTATCTTTCATGGGAAGACAAAGCATTTTAATATTAAGTTGTATTTCTTAATGGAGGTACAAAAGAAAGATGAAGTATGCTTGTTGTATTGCAAGACTGAAAGTCAGCTTGCTGATAATTTTACAAAAGCACTTCCCGATAGCATATTTGTGTTTCTAAGAGAGAAGCTTACAGTCTGCAACTACTGAGGCAAGGAGAAGTGTTACAGATGTGCCACAGTAGTTACTGAAGGTGCAGAAGCTGAGATAGCAGGCTATCTGATTTTTCTATTGTACGTTGTAAATTACAGCTAGTTATGAGTACATATTAGTTAGTTGTAGTAACTTAGGATGATCTGCTGGTTAGTGGCTTGGTGGGCATCGATTATCTCTCAATTTTTGTATTTAAATAGTTGTTTGGTTCAATAAAATCATTAGATTTGCAGCTTATTACCAAATTTGCTTTGGCAATTGATGACATCATATTAATAAACATGTGGCACAAAGATATCGGTTTGGAATATGCCGCCAGCAGAACTCTTTTGAAAATTGTTTTCTAGGTGATGGAGCATTTATTGAAGCCCTATAAAAGAACATTGCTATTTGTTATATGTGATAACACAAATACTCCACTTGAATGTTTGGGGAGTGTTAATATAGAGAAGATATGGACTGCAACTGCTGAACCTGAGACTCCTAGAAGTGCTTCTCTTAGTGAATTTTTTAACGTGGAGATCACTGCTTTGTCTAGCTATGAATTTGAAAAGAAGAAGTTTAAAGAGGAGGTTGCTCATCTAAGGCAGCAGTTCATCTCTCCAAGAGGTCTTCTGGTGATAGTTGGGAAGTTGAACCCGCTTCAGAATTTTTGATTCGCGTAGAGAAGATATGACAAACCATTAAAGATAACAAGGATCTAGATCTCCTTGTTCTTATGGTGATGGTTGTTGCAGTTCTATGTGAACAGATTGCTGAGGAGAAGCTCAAACAATTTACTTCTGATGATGATTGTTTGGCATTGAAAGGAACTGTTAAAGCTGGTCTTGTATCTTGGTTTGGAGCAAACCTCAGTTCTGTATTGGAACCTATCTTTCACGTTATGACAAGAAGGTGATTTATTTTGATCAAGATGAACGAAGTGCAAAATGGCACCATATGGAGTCCCAAGTGTTGGAGGCGGTTCATGATTCTTATTTTAGCATGCTGGAACATCTGTATTCTAACACACTAGAAAGTTTTAAAATTAGGCTAGAACAGTTACTGAACAAAGAAGGAAATGTTGCTTTTGCTCGTATCTATGCTCAATCTGGCATGCTTGAATTTGATCAAGGATATTAAGAAGTTGCTATAAGACAAAGTGGAATGCATTGGAAGTCCGGAAAAAACTCAAGAGGTGATATTGGAGCAGGGGGTTCTTTAATTGGAGCATGGGGTTCTTCAATGCTTGCTTGTGCATTAAAGCACGGTGTTCTTCAATTGACGCTGAGGACAAGGTCTCTGAAGAAAGAGGGTATTGATAGTCATTTAAGAATTGTTGAAATCGCTGGGAATGACAGGTAAGTTGGCAGCTTAGTTGGCAAACATGTGAGCTAGCAGTTGAGCTGGCAGTTATGTGAGCTCGCACTAGTAGTTGTAATCCTTAGTAGTTACTTGAGCTGTTAAAAAAGAGTGAGGGGAGTGTTTGTTAGTCGGTTGTAATGTTAGCAAGAATTCTCTCTTTCTTCTCCTCTCTAGTTCTCTGTAATCTCTATGCTCTTTCCTCCTGTATTTCTTGTTCTTCTTCCTACAGTCAGTTGCATTGTTAATTTAAGTTTTTGTCTTTGTTTTTCATTGATTTGCAATTGTAGTTCAAGAACACGGCTTTCATTGATTTGCAATTGTAGTTCAAGAACACGGCGTCGGTCTAATTTGAACAAGAATTCATGTTTTCCTACTTGTTTCCTTTGCAGTTCTCTTTTTTTCAACTGATTAGAAATTGGAGTTTCATTAAGGAGTCATTTGAGAGCCCACAGACGATATCAGGCTTGAAGTTTTAGCTGCCTTCCATTTGTACATCTTTTTCTTCGAAGTACCCTACTCCTAACAAAGTAGGTATGGCAACAGGCCAACAGCAGCTGAAGAATCAGTTGTTTCCTGGAAACCGAAATGAAATTCTTACTGAGGTATCACGTTTGCAGAATATTCATCCTACCTAGTCAAGCTCTTTAGTGGGCAAGTGGACAATGGCATATTAAAATTCAGATGCATCATGAATTAGATATGCTAGCTAGCCATTTGACGAATCAAAAGATTAGTAAAATGTGAATCATGGAATTGACGTTTAATTGTAAAATACACAGCAAGTTTTAAACGCAAACGTTAGATTTGGTCTCCAATCAACGTATCCAAGCTGAAAAGGACATAAAATAGATGACAGTAAGAGAATTTTATTTGACCTGTACAGATACATATCAAGATTAAAAATGGAATATATTAAATTAGCAGCCGAACCAGGCTGCTACGCCAAAACAATCAATCCATGATGAACGTATTTTAATGAAACATACATCTGTGTCTATCTTTACACCGCCAGCGTCCACCCACCATTATTATGTACATATCAACCCATGCTCAATGCTTGCTGTTTGAAAATCATCATCTGCAAAACTGCGAGCTGCTTTTTCTTTCATCAAACTGAAGCTGCCAGAAACAGTTCATTTACTCAACAAGAGATTAGAAAATTATTCTATTTACATTCAGCGATTGGCACTGCCCTCCAACAAGTTCCTCAAGCTACATAATGCCTCTGCAGAGAGGCTACAGCACCTCTGTTTCCGTTGCCTTGGTGTGGGTGGTGATGGCTCCCGATAATCGATAGAAGAGAAGCACACAATGATTACAGTAAGATTGTCAAATGTGTTACGGCGCAAGGCCTCCATGACAAGGTCCCTAGCACCCTGCTCAGGGTCATCATGCCGCCGCAGCCCACGGCGAACAAGGTTGACCGCATGCTGACTTGACATAACATCCCAAATCCCATCACAACCAATGATGAGAAATTCATCATCCTCTGTTAGAACAAGCTGCCGAAACTCTGGCTCAGCAATGAGAGGTGAAGGAGAACCCCGAGGGAGTTTCATGTCCCAGTCACCAAGGGCTCGGGAAACTGACAGCACACCATTCAGGTATCCATCATCAATATACCCACCCAGTTCTTCAACCCGCCTTCGCTCTGATGGATAAATAGGCCTATGGTCTTGAGACATGTCTATTGCCTCTCCTTTACGACAGAGAACTGCTCGGCAATCACCAGCATTAGCAACCATTAATAGCCTGGAACATGAATGCACGATCAGGATGCTAGTGAAAAAAAACAAACCCAAGGGCATACTACAAAACTACCAACATGGAGCACACAAAAAAGAAGGTATTTAAAAGTTCCTAATTTTTGAAAGTCAACTAGAGTAATCCACTGAAAGATGATATAGGAAGGCTACATTGAGCCACTGAAACTTGCAATATGAAGCCAGCGTATTGTACACATCAGAAGTTAACTAAAATATTTGCTGGTTCAAGTAACAAACAGAAAGTATCATGTGCAAGGACAAAAACAAGACAACCTTAGTTAGCACATCTTAGAAGACTAGTGTGAAGATTGATATATAGATACTGGATTTCGTACAACAATTATTCTAGATAAATTAAATGGTGATTGACCAACATCACTACCACTAATATACCTAAAAACAAAGCTTTGAAAGGGTAAAACAAGGCTACCACATACACATGGTTATATTTTCATGTTTTAGAGCAAGAATATACCTTCCAAATACAAAAGCAGTAAGCGCAGTTGTCCCAGAAGAAGTGCTCACACTGCAGTCATCTGCCAAAGCCAAGTCAGCCAGATGAAATGCTCTCCGAAGGGAGTTCTCAACCTCCTCCAAGAACATGTTGTCAACCTCAGATGTCTGAGGGAAATTTACATCTTCAAAGAAGATTCTCATTGCATTTTTTCTGACATAAGCTGCTGCTTCAGGTCCTCCATGACCATCAAAAACCTGCAAATATATGCGATCGCAAATCAATTATGAATTCCTTAAACTTGTCAAATTAATATTAGTCACAACCATAGGTTTCAACAACAATTACCCCATAGAAAGCACTGGGCTTGGGAAACTTAAAGACGGAGCCAAGCTGCACAGATAGATCATCCATGCGTATGTGCTCATCTTCCATGTATCTTCGCGGCCCAATGTCAGCAAAGCTACCAGAACGGATGCTAGGAACAAACTGCAGGATGGCAGATTCAATAATTTCTGCATCTGAAAATTGTCCGGAAGATGTAATATCCTACAAAAGGAGATGATTTAAAATTAAGTTTTCCACCTACAGCACAACTAATCAAAACGCTTGGAATCTTTCAATCATTATTGACGAAATCTATTATTACAGCTCATGCCATCAAACTCGTAATTAAATTTACTACACAGTACGCTGGTAATTAATAGCAGCGTCAAAACAATTTATTGGGAAAACCCAGAAGTGAATTTCTATATTCATATTACTTTCATTTTCACTACAAATAATTTTTTTTAAAAAGCCGAAAATTCCCATTCAGATTCAGCTAGTCTATAAACAAAACCCGATCTAAACAACCTATCATGACCAATAGCAAAACAATTCAGCCCATAACCAGTAACGAATTCTCAATTTCAACTTAGTAATATTCAAGATTCTCAAACAAAACAAACCCTAGAAAAAAAAATCAGGACGATGATGAAGAAAACTGACCAATTGAGCAGTAGATAACTCGGCGGAGACAGAATCCGAGATGCGAACTTGACTTAACCTTCTGGGGGAAGACGAAACAGCAACAACATCTTCAAGCTCATGAACAGTAGTAGGACTGTTTCCTTTAGCAGCAAAATATTGAACATCTAAGACCGGCACGCTTACTACCTCAGCTTCAACTACCATCTTTCATTCACAGAAAAATCAATCAATCTTCTTCTCTTCGAATTTTCAAAAGATTCAAGCTTCAAATTCCCTTCTTTTCTCTCCTCTTTGACTGCCAATAATTATTGTAATTTTGGTTTTCTGAATGATCAAAAATTTGAAGCAAGCTAGCTTGAACTAGCATATATAATGCAGTCAGGAACCTTTTTTTTTTAAGGGAGCAATGACCGGTGGCTACAGGTAAAAGAAATTTCGGTAAAGGACACGTGTGAGGTGCGTACGCCCTGAGATTTTAAGAGACCGTTGTTTTCACACGCTAAATCGATTAGCTTCCTTGACACGTGACTGTTTTTAGGTTGACGCGTGCCGTGACCTTCATATCTTTCGAGGCTGTTTCGTATGCAGTGACTGAATCGTCTTCTTGTCATGAGCTGTTTTTTGAGCTGGCCACGGGTTAGGATGTTGATGGCATTTGGAGCGTCTTGCGAGGCCATTTGGGGAAAAGAAAATTTCCCTGATCGACCATTTCAGCTCTTGCATGTTCATGAATATTCATTCCACTTTAGCCTTCCTGGGTTTGAAATTTTGAAGTTTCCTAAATTTTATATGTTCGTACAGAAAATTTGTAAAATAAATTCCGTCATTAAAAAAAATGCAATTAATCATGCCATTAGATTTGAAAAATACACAATAGTCCTTATCTTCTTCAAAACCATATGATTTTTATTCCCATATGTGAAAAATTACTTGTTTTTCTTTCCATTAGAAAAGGTAATTCTGACTAAGATTCTTTCATAAAAAAGGATTCAAAATTTTCTACCTCTACGTAGATATACAATCTTTTTATGTGTACTATACTTTGTTTCCTTTACACATTTGGCTTTTAGTATATAATTAAATTAAATGGACCACATTACTTATTATTGCACATTTATTGGGCTGTCATTCCTTTTTTTTTTTCTATGTTTGGTTTTGTTGTTCAGATGCATTTTTTCTCTTCTTTTTTGTCGAATTTTTTTCACTTGTAGTCACATTGGAACTTTTTTTTATGAAAGCTTTAGATTTTTAAATTATTAGGTTTTAAATGAAATATTGTTCAATCTATAGGGGTTAGAATGTATTTTACTTAAGCTACGTAATTTTTTAGTGCCTTCTTATGCAAGTGAGGTTTGAGGAAAGGAACTATCTGTCGATGGACAAGGGCGATCCTGGCGTGATGGTGTGTGATACTGGGATAGGCCTTTAGCGCGGTTAAGGGAGGGGACATCGATTCGTACACGCGGCTTCAGCTCCTTCTCCAATGAGAGAAAATGGGGACCACAGGATAATTTTGGACGGTTAAGATGCATCTGGACCCTTCTGGGGATTGCTAAACGTTACGTCACCCCTTTGCATCATTAAGTTTCCATGGCCACGTTAAAAAAAAAAACATCAGTGTGATGTGCTTCTCTCCTTCGTCGGCTTTCCTTCCCCCGAAAATAAAGGTTATATTATGGGATGTGGAGGTTCTGCAGCGTACAGACTGCTGCAGTTAGGCAATTTCTGAGTACCTTCAGACTTCCGTCGTGTAATATTACGGCTCAACAACAGAACAAACTACCGCACGAGTGCGCCTGTGCTTGATTTCCTTTTTCTCTTGTGAATCTTCTAAAGAATGTATGCCAATAGGCAATAGAAATATGGAAATCCAGGTTGTAGTTTAAGTGATCCAGAATTTCATTTCCTTTTGGTTAATTTTGAATTCAGGACTCTTGTAACTATGTGGCCTTTATAGTTTTCCCTAAAACAACGACCCTTATGGTTTCTTATACGACAAACAACATTTATTAAGAAGAAATTGTGGATAAATATTAGTAATTGGAATCTTTTATCTCGATTTCTACTTTACAAAAATGTTACTTGCTTTGTCTTCAAAAAAAAAATCTGCTATGACTTTTTACTTAGTTTGATAAAATTACTAATTATTACTATCATATTAATATTTTTTGTTCATATTTTTTAAAACATATTTTTTAAAATTATTAGTTATTAAATTTAATCCTACATTACATAAAATCAATATTAATTTAAAGAAAAAATCTATTTAAATTGAAGAAAAAAATCATCAATTTAATTAACCATTAAGTTTAAAACAATTATAGAAAAATAATATGTTGATTAAAGTATTTTTATTCTCAAAATTTTAATATGCAGTAAAGTTTTTATAAAAATAAATAGATTTTATGTTATTAAAAAAAATTAAAACTTTTTATTGTAAAAGTAATTGTATAGTTAAAAGTAATTGTATATATAAGGAAAAAAAATATTTATTTTTTTGTGGCTAAAGAGCATAAAATTGAAGAAATAATTGATTTTCTTTCTCACTTAAAAGTAATTTAAGAAACTATATTATTTAAAATTTTAACCAGAAAAATATAAATAAAAAAATAATTTATTTGAAATAGAAGGAGTATTATATGTGAAATCATAGATTTTATATTACATTTTTTGTTTAGTGTTGTTATAAAAGGATAGAAGATTGATTGATCAATGTAAACTGTAAAGAACAATATTTTTATCAAAAAGTGTGGTCTAGTGGTAAAGTGATTATCTTAATTTATTCAAGACCAAGTTCAATTTCTACTATTTATCGATAACTAGCCATAATTAATTTTTAGTGATACTAGATTTGGGTTCATTTGATCTAAAATAAGGTCCAAGTAATCAACCAAATGCTAAGAGTATTATGTGGCTGGATTAATCTAAAAAAATAATAAATTTAGTTTTGATTAATGTGAAAACTGATTTAAAAATACGTACATATAAACAATATTTTTTTTTACATTTATATCCTTTTGGAAAGATTTTTGATGATTATATTTGAAGTCGAAGATGTATTTTCGAATAACAAGACTTTCACTTAAAACTATAGATTGAAATATTGTTATTTTTTATTATCCGAATCAATTGTTCAGATTTCATATTATGAACTGCATAATTATCCTTGAAGCAAGTCTTTTACAGTAGTTGATTGGGCAAAAATATATATATATATATATATATATATATAACTTCGGCACATGCTAACTGCTATGTAAAAATGTGAGAGTTAAAGGCATTGATTGGCGATCAGTTCTAAACAAATGAGTAACATATAGTTTAATATGAATAAATTCAAGTAGATCATTGTCCAATGACTTCGCTGCCCCCAAGCAGGTGAATGTCTGGAATTTCTTTAATTTTATTTGTTTTCTTATAGTATAAATGCATGGAATATTCAACGCTGCCCCAAAGCATCTTATTCGTCTTGAGAGTTGAAAGTCTCCGGTTAATTTTAAATAGTACCCAATTATGATCAGGGGCTTTAAAATTCAAAGTTTCAAACCCACTTCTTCAAATTTATTAAAGATATTGAATTGTGAACCAATCTCTTTGACCATTTTCGTACGACCAACTACGAATTCCAAAAGGTAAAATTTAAGTTTTAACCACACAGTTAACCTTGCTAGAGAGTTAAAAAAACTACACAAAATTGAACCCAACAAACCCCACCCCAACTCAAAATCGTTTTCGTTGACTCACATATATATTATAGAGATGCTAGCTCGTACGATTGATGCTTTTGGACAGCATACTTGGAATAAATGTTCTAAGAATCTAATTTTCTTTTCTGTGGTTGCGACTTGGAAAGAACTTATCCTGATTTGGTGTCCAATAATTTGCGTTCTGGAGGACACCGGGTCCTGCTTTTTTAAGTACTACGTAGCTTTGTCTGCCCCATATAAGATAATGTTAAAAAACGCTGAGTTGTCGCATGCAGCTCCATACACCGCTGCGCACAGATTCTAAAGCATGATAGAAAAAGGTTGGCACAAGTGGGTTTGTTGGTCCAACTAGCCAAACCACTTCTAAACTCTCTCGATTGGCCAACCAAATTGGCCTGTTGATGCCTGGTTCTCATGCATGAACTGCAAATTTTGGTCTTAGTTAGGTTTTCTGCCTCACGCTTCGTCAAATAATCACAAGTATCGCATAAGTCATATCAGAAGGTAGGTTGCCCCTATCAAGGCATAAGATTAATAAACCTTTTCAAGCTTCACTTGTAAATGTGCTGGCCAGAAACCACGATGGTGACAAAATGTTTGTGGCTGTTCTCTGCGGTGCTCGCGGCCTCATCATTTTGTATATATATATATATATATATATGCGCGAAGGTTTGTGGATTTTGAATTATACTATGGATAGTCATTTCATCTTATATAATAATTAAATAAATTAAAATTATTATAATTTTGATTTATTTTATTAAAAAAAAGTTACGAAATATACAATAGTTAAATTATAACTATTTATGCTTAGTTATGTCGATCTGATTATGATTTCAACTATTGGTTGAAACTTAGCTTTATGTTTCTTTTCCTATTTATTGATGTCTTTAATAATCTTTCAATGTTTTGTTTGGTTATAATCTGGTCTCTTTACCTAACAAGCTTTTGATGTCAAACGTGGCCATCGTCCTTCCAGGAATATTTTTTTCTCTTTTTTAAGAAAATTATATATGTTTTTACTTGTGAGAAATTTTTTTATTGTCAAACATGTATAGTCTTGTTCCCTTCTTGTTATTTAAGAGGCGATTAGATGACATAAATTATCCAATTTATTCAATTTGTGTAAATGAGACTATATATATCCTTCTTCTTTTTTCTTTTTCTTTTTTTGTCCAGTTAATACACAACATGTACATTGATGTTAAAAATTTCGTGAAAGAATATGATCTCGCCTCCTAATTTGAATCTACATTCTGATTAACGAGATAAGTACTCATCAATTGTGGAGTCCTCAATTATTTTTTTTTCAAATTAGATGTCAGAACTGGAATCTACATGAATAATTTGTTACCTTTTATATATAAATATATTATTTATGACTATGCTCTTGCAAAAGAGGGGGAAAAAAAGGAGAAGCTAATTCTCTCTTTGACCTAAAAGGGGGTTAAATTCATATGAAAAAAAAAAAATTACTCTCCTTTAATTATCATCAACTATTGTAATTTTAAATTTGATGAATATTATTAAATGCCAATGAATTGTAGTTCAATTGACATTAATATCATTAATTCTTTCAATAAAAAAATTTAGAATTTCAATATCTCATTTGTAACCAAAAAAAAAAAATTATATTTTAAGTACATCAACTTTAGAGCTTTTCTCAATTGAGTATATCAATTTTTATTTTTTTCATTTTAATATATCAATTTTTTCAAAATTTTCAATCAATTTTTTCGTCTAATTTCTCGTTAATTAATGGTAGTTAAGCGGGAAAACAAAATGACTTTTTGGCTTTTTTTTTTCTTTTCTCTCAAATTCTCTATTATAAATTTTCATTCATTCAATTTGTTTCTTGCCTTAGCCCGCTCTTCCCCTCTTTTTCCTTCCCTTTCTTCTCCTTTTCTCTTCTCTATAAAATTTGAACCTTAAATTCAAAATCCAAAAACACGAGTTTCTTCTTCACTTGACCTTCCTCTCATTATGTCATATTGAATCCTAAAATCGAACCCAAAGCATAAAGATTCGTCACTTTATCTTCCTTTATTTTTGTCATCTGCAACCTTTAAATTAAAAACCAAAAACACGAATAGACATATGCAACACTAATCTAAATGATTTGTGATTGTCAAAGATAGGCTATGTTGAGGACTTTTTGGACCGATCTAAATCCTAGTAGGAGATTCATTTCTTGTGAGCATTTGCGGGTAAGCTTTCATTTCATTCTATCCTTTAATTTCTTGCCTTTCATTTCATAAGTGTTCACCATTAATAAGTTTTTATTGTGTGCTCATTTCAAGCAAGATGGTTGTGGTTTTTTTCAATTGATTGATCCTCTAATTTGTGAAAGAAACATAGTCATTATTCTTGGCTTATTGAGAAGAATCAAACGAATTGAAGCTGAATTAGAGAGGAGCACAAGAAATGATAAAAAAATGAAGTTATGGCGTACATTGACATGGATTGTCTTTCTTTTTGCTATTTTCTTCAATGTTGTTGATGGGAGGAATTGAATTGCTATAATGGTAAGATATGTTTGTGAAAGGGAGATGTAGATTTTATGTTATGATGGTTGGTTAAATAAATCAAATTGCAAATTTTGTGGGTAGAGTTTATTTGTAACGACAACTAATGGTGGTGTGTAGGCAAGTATTGTAGTTTATTCGGTCAATGTGAACAATGTCCATGACGTGCTTGTAAAAATGCTTCATTGAAGCTATTTTGTTTATGAATGAAAATTCAT